TAACTCAGTTACTTTTTGGGAGAAGTAACTAGTACCAAATAACTAATTACTTTTAAAGTAACATGACCAACACTGAACATAAGTGATTATCACCAAATGTCTGTGTTGTATCAATATCAACAGCAGAGAGGCAAAAAAACCTTTAGATTCTATTGTAAGATGAATCAAGAACCTTCTAGTTTTTGTTGCCAATTTCTGCCCGTTTAGTGGAAACTTAAGTCCACATATCCTACCTTAAATGAAGTTAAAATCCGCTCTAAGAACTGATGAAGCGCCGTGAAGAAGAGGAGCCAAGGAGGCTGCCAAGAGACCTACTGTAACAGCAATGGAGCTGCAGAAAGTTCTGGAAACAGTGGTGGGGCAGTAAGTGTGTTTTTTGTTAGGAAAAACATCAAAAGAAAGTTAAACTGTGCATATCACATTTGAATTCACCCATAAGCTGCTGGAAAAGGCTTTACGGATCGGGATGAGAACACGGTACCCACAGTGGAGAGTGATGGTAGCACCGCCATGCCAAATATAACCAATCATTTCTTTTTTAAGAACTTACAAATTTTACCTACAGTCTTTGCTGAAAACATTTTGGTCCCAAACGTGTCCGAAGCACCATTTGAACTCACTATAAACCCTGAGAAAGATTGTTTTAGTTGACAGAATACATGTGAAAAATGTTAAAAAATAACTCCTCATGCTTGTTTAGCTCCAAACCCTGAATAACTGCAGCTTTTAAAATATTCTATATACTTCAGTTCAGTATTCAGAAAAACAAGAAACAAACCGAATGGAAAGGTGCATTAGTTTGTCATGGATGAATGCTACTAGTTTTTGTCATCGGCAACACTAAGTAAACAACAAAGAGAAACACAGTCCAATGATGGTGTAGAAAGATTTCTTCAGACATTATGTCTTCAAGCATTCCCAGAACACCAAACAAACACGTCCAGAAGGCAGCTTGGTTCTCTGTTTAGCTTCAGACTCTGCGCTAAGATCTGGAGATGAGGGTCCTCTCCCATTCCTCTTCTACGACTTTGTAAAGCTCCATCGTGGCTTTAGCGTCCTCCACAGACGAGTGGCCTTTCTTTCCAGTCTGAGGACAAAAAAGAAGACGGTTTAGCTTCACGTTCATAAATATATTCATAAATAACTGAGCATTGATTCAAATGTCAGGACTCAGGAATATATTTTATTTCAATTCTCAAAATTTAGAAGCGATTCTTTTCAATCCGGTCTGGATCTTTAATTAGATGCTGCTAATAAAAGCTTTTATTCTGTTACATTAACTGTGATTAACTGTGTAGTTATAAATCATAATAATACTCACATTTTAGAAACATGCAACAGCATATTAATAAAGTGATGGTAGTTAATGGCGGTAAAGGCAACAGAAAATCAATTGTTAATTTTATCAGTGATATTTAGGAATAATATGGGAATCAATTAAGGACAGGAAATTAGACATTAAACAGTTCTATTTATAACCATTCTAAGTGCTGTTTTTTGAAACTTGTACATCCATGAATGATTTATGTTATGTATTACCTTTTTGTGTTTTGTATAAATCAGTTAAAAACAAATAAATTTAGTTTGTATTGCAGATTTAAAGACATTTGTGAAGAAAATGTTACGAGAACTTTAGCTGTTCTGTTATATTGCCCACGGAAAAGAAATACAACTTGAGTTGAAATAATAATAAATGATGGCTGATGGAGCAGCAAGGTAGTTTTTGCCGTGTTGTGACGAGGTTACACGGAAAATGAACAAATTAAACTAAAGATTACGACACTACAACCATTATAATGTAAGATATTGAAGGACAGCTTTAGTATGACAGCTCTTAATTTAAGCTTCTAACAATAGTAGTGGTTATAAGGTCTTTGCAGCCATAAGATCATCCTTACATTCATTAAAAAAGTTAACATTCTCACTGACTGATCAAACATTACTAAAGATGGGAACTTCTATGTGAAATGAATCTAATCTAAACAGAGCAGTACATCAAAACCATCACATATGATCATATCACACACATATATCAGATCAAATATGCACTACTTTAATTCATGGACCATAAACCGGAAAATGCAACTTCCAGAATCCAATATGAAAACGGAATGGAAGAAAAGCTCAACATCTAAAGCAGATTAAGCAGCCATGCAGCATGAAGTGTTCACTGCTTTACCCCACCCTCACTGATCAGGGAAATCATGACTTTAAATGTAACATACAAACTGTTTTTTTTTATTCTAAGTGTTTAATATTAAGGAACATTTCTTTGCACAATGACCCCCAAACATCAACATGTAGGATATTTCCTTATTATCAGATATACCATCATCATCCTGCAGCATCATTTCAAAGCCTCTAATAGATTGTAGCCCCCCCTGCAGTTTTCCATCAAACCGTTTCCATGGTATAAGCAGTTTTTTTTAATAAGAGAGTGCTCAGGTTTTGAGCAGCTGTGGTATCATGACCCCCCATGTGGAATGATGGCTGGGGGCCTTTTCAGACCGGGCATTACACACACAATGCGCTCTCAAACTTCTTAAAGTCAGCGGTGGTGGAAAACTTCAGCCCCCAGAAGAAGGTGTGGAAGAATTG